ACTTCCGCTAGTCATCAAACTATTCTGACGCGTACTCTGTTCTCCTTTTGTTTCATCATCTTTGCTGCTCCCGTTTCTTTCAAGGTTTGTGCTGTTGCCGTGTACATAGCTGCAAAAACTTCTCGCAGGCCCGCTGCTGCTGCTGCTACTGCTATTGCTGCCATCGGTGCTGCTACTGCTGCCGCAGCTACTTTGTCGTACTGAACAGTCGGTAGGCCAGCTGCTGCGCGCATGGGCAGCCACAGGACCACATACATCTCCACCTCTATTAGTTCCCCAAGAAGGAGAAGTACGTGTGTCCCCTGGTCGTTATCTCCAGCGACGCGCTCTTTGCAATACCTCTGAAGACCGTGCATCCTGTCGCACCTCTGTCTACTGCTGCTCCTCCTGCTCGTGTTGCTGCGTCACTATCTGCCGCAAAAGGTAGCATTGCGGCAGCAGCAGGAGCGGCAGCAGCAGCAGCAGGGGCAGCAGCAGCAGCACCACCAGCCGCAGCAGGACCAGGAAGAGCACCACCAGCCGCAGCGGGAGCAGGAGCAGCAGCAGCAGCAGCAGCAAACGTGTGTGCTGCCTCGGCGGATCCAAAGCACGGAGAACTGCCTCGAGATGCACTGCAAAGAGATGCCTCATAATCGCCTCCTCCCTCACTACTACTACTACTAGCAGCAGCAGCAGCTGTAGCGCGAAAAGAATTGGTTATTCCTATTCCGCCTCCTCCTATAGGTGTCTTCATATCTCCACTAGCAGGCACGGCATATGGAGGATGGTGACCTTCTTCAGGAGACGCTGCTGCAGACAACTGAGCGCTGCTGCTGCTGCTGCTGCCCCAGCTATCAATCACGTCTGAAGGGCCTGCTCCTGCAATCCTCGGACCACAATAACCCGGAGGAGATACGTGAGCAGATGCACTGCTGCTGCTGTTGCTGTTGTCGTTGCTGCTGCTGTTGCTGCTACTGCTGCTGTCTGCTTGCAACCGCGAAGCAACAAAAGAGGCCCCCGAAGGTGGAGGCGAGGGACGTTTCGTGAACGCGAGTCGACCACCTACCAACTCTATTGGATTCTGTTTCAGTCTATGGAAATCGTTGATATACTCCGCCTCTGGAATATCAAGAATGCGGTAACCTGCAAAACGAAAACAGAGGAAGAGAAGGGGCAGCACACACTAGGGACAGCAGGAGCAGCGGCAGCAACGTACTACGAGACAAACAGAAGCACACACGATTCCTCAGTGCTGCATGTTGGACATGACCGGGAAAGGCCTTCTATGACTACATACGCCAGAGCTGGTAACAACCGTCTATATTTACTATGTGTGTGTATCCTTTATAGTGACACGTCCTCTGTCTCTCTGTGCATCTCTCTGTTAGTCACACTTCCCGTCTCTGTCTCTTCCTAAATGTAGCACTCCCTCTCAGTGTTTCTGTCTTTCTCTCCACAGCGCATTTACTCTCCGTAGGTACCCGTCTCTCTCTTTAAGTCCTCTCTGTGTTTCTTTCTTTGCTGTATCCCTCCGTGTCACTTTCTTTGCTGTAGGCCGTTTCCGCCTCTCTGTATACATCTATCCGTCTTTCTTCCCCTGTACAAAGGCTCGCCTTCGTGATTCTGTCTTTCTCTGTGCAAAAATTCCGCCTGTGTATATCTATCTGTCTCTTTGTCGCGGTTGCCGTTCCTCTCTGTGTCTGCCCCTGTCTCGGTCTCTACCTGCCTCTCTCTCTAGCAGTTTTTACCTATACATTCGTACATGTGCATGTGTATATGCATGTGATCAAGCGGCTCTCCGGTGTGTAGATATATGTATGTGTATACGTCCTTGACAGTGTGGGCCCGTCTTCGTACAGCTGCCCCTCTTCTATGGGCGAAAGATCCTTCGTTACGTGTTTCTGTTTCTCTCTGTCCCTCTCTCTGTATCTCTCGGTAGATCGCTTGACTTGCCTTTTTGCTTTCTCTGTCCCTCTCAGTCGTAGCGTGTACGTGTTTCTCTCTCCCCATCCCTTTCTTTTCGTCTCCCTGTCGCTGTATGTGCCTCCTCTCTCTGGCTCTCCGCTGTATGTTGTCCGTGTGAACTCCGTTGTGGAGCTCATCTCCCCCACACATACGTGTACTGCTCTATGACGCAGGCGTATGTACATATCTCGCCAAGTATAAGGAAGTGTTTCTGTATGTGTACCTGGATCGAAGTCGTCTCTATACTGATCGGTATCATCGAATCGATTTATATAGACTCCGTGAACATGATCTAGCCACTCATGATAAAGCTGCTCTTCTTCTGCGATCGTGTGGCTGTCCATGTTCTCTTTATCTCCGCAGCTTCGTCCGCAGCTGCCGCTCGGCCAGGTGCTGCTGCTGCTGTTGCTGCTGCTGCTGTTGTGACGCATCCAGCTGCCGCCGCTGCTGCTGCTGCTGGCGCCCCGCGGGCGTTTCGGGAAGTATCGAGGGGAAGGACTGCCAATCAGCAGAAATGCAGGACTTATACTGCTGCTACTGTTCCTCGCATCTTCTCTCTGCTGGCTCTGCTGCTGCTGCTGCTGCTCAGGTGCACGTACACTTGAGGCTATGGCTGCTTCAGACACGAAGGAAGTTTTGCTGCTCCTGCAAAGCCGTCGATCTTGCAGCACTGGCCCGCCCTTCATCTGAGAGAGGCCGCCTTGTATCATTCCACTGCCTGCCGGCTGGGGAAGCAATCGCCACTGCTCACGCTGCTGCAGCCTCCGTACTACAGAAAGCAGAAAGGAGTACGTTTCTGGATATGTTAGAGGTGCAGTGGTATTTAGAAGCTGCTGCAACACTTCTCGCCCTGGAGCAAGAGACGACTCGCCACTGCTGCTGCTACTGCATTTGGCTGCTGCAACTGCTCCTACACCTGGACCACGATCTACTGCAGCAGGCGGAGCACCTTCGTAGGTTCCTATCATTCCATGGTTCACTGCTGGTGGTGCTGCTGCTGCTGTTGCTGCCCCTTCAGAGGTTCCTAACATTGCGTCGTACACTGCTGGTGCTGCTGCTGGTGCTGCTGCTGGTGCTGGTGCTGGTGCTGCTGCTGCTGTTGCTGCTGCTGCTGCTGGTGCTGCTGCTGCGGGTGCTGCTGCTGCTGGTGCCGCTGCTCCGTACCGGAGCGAACTTCTTGGCTCCCCGTGCACCAGCTTTTGCTGTTGTGCGCTGAAACTTGCGGAAGCATTGTTTTGCCGCTGCGGCTGAGTACCTCCCTGCTTCTTTCGTTGCTCCTGCAACGAGTGCAGCAGCTGCTGCAAAGAACAGAGGAACTGTTCTTGCTGCCCAAACGCCCGTTGCCGTTGTTCTTCATTTTCTTCCTTCTGAGAAGACACCACCCCTGTTTCTGAGGAACTGCCTTGCCCACTTGTACACGTATCAGACGATACAACTGCTGCTGACACTTCTGCTGCTGCTGGGGTGGCTGCTGCTGATGCGGCTGCTCCTGGTGCTGCCGCTCCCGCTGTTGCTGCTGCCGCTGCTGCTGCTTGCATACCTCCCCCTACGGTAGGAAACACTGCAGCAGACGCTTCATCGAAGGCTTCCGCAGTGCTGCCGATGCTGCTGCCATGGGCAGACCCAGCAACATATACTTCATCGCCCCTCTGATTCTGCTGCAGCAGCCGCTGTTGCGCAAACTCTTCCTGCTCTGCCTTCCATGTCAGCAATACACTGCGTACAGCAGCAAGTGCTGCATCCTCTATTTGTCTCATTTTCCCTTTTTCGCTGCTCCTGCCCTCTCTTCGACTGGCGGCGTCGGCGCCTGGAGGGGGAAGCCCGTCATACTGCCGCTGCTGCTCCTCCTCCTGCGTGAGTGGCCTTCCTTGTTCCGCGCTAGGCTGCCGCCAAGCAGCCATGAAGCCCTCCTGCCACATTCTGGTATGTCGTATTGCTAGTAGTAGTACTGGTAAGTAGAAAGGCCCCTGCTGCCGCTGGGTGGAAGCACCTGCTACTCCTTACGCTCTCATCTTGTGCTAAAAAGTTATCGAACAAGGCCAGGCCGGTATGTGGCATGCTATTTATAGTACTGCTAGACGAAAAGGCCCTCCTGCTACTGGGTGGGAGTATCCCCTACTGCACAGGATGCTTCTCCTGCTAATATATCAAAAAAGCGCAGCAACTTCATCCGGCTACTACACACATACGTCTAAATATATATATGTATAGACAGGCAGAGAGAAAGACAGATGGATACGTCCGGGTCACCGTCCCCACAACACACAGCTACCTACGGATATATCTACCTGCATAAACAAACAGGGCGCAAACCGTTTATCACACATATATATACACATAAATTGATGTGTACGTATATATATATATATACATGTACATGTATGCATACGTATATACGTAGTGTCGCCGGCGAGCCACAAGTCATTTCGTTGCCGTTCCCCTGCACATGTTGCAAATATCTAAACAGTTTCTCCGTCTGATGCAGTTGGTGTCACGGCTGTCATGTACGCTTCCTCCTGTGTTGCCGCTGCTTCACAGCCCAGTTCCTGCAGCTTTCAGTGCGACTGCCGCCTCTGTCTCTGTCCTCGCACACACGTTACATCCATTAAGCAGCCTCGCGAGAAGAGAGACTCCTGAAATGTGCACATTACGTTTACTGCAGATCAGGGCAAGGAAAGCGAGAGACCATGCTACTAGTGCCACTCCTACTACTGAGGGTTCCCCAAGAATTCTAAGACGTCTTTTCTTCGAAAGGCCTTTCTCTCTGCAGTGTTGTTGCTGCTGCTGCCGCCGCAGCTACTACTACTGCTACTACTATTACAGGCGGTGCCGCAAGCTTAGGACGCGTCACCCCGTAGAAGCGCCTCTCTCCCCGTAGTATTGCTGCTGCTGCTGATGCATCTACTATTGTTATTATATGACGCCCTCCGCCGGATGGCGATAGGTTGTTCTTCCTTCCAAGGGCTCTTCCCTGTGTGGCGGTGCTGCTGCAGCACCAGCGCCAGCGACTGCCACTACTACTATTAGTGACGGTCTTGCTTAGATGGTGATAGGCTGTTCACTGCAGGCGCGTCTCTCTCTTTCAGCGTCGCTGAGGGTGCTGCCGCTGCGTAGTGTATATTGATTCGGCAAACACTACTGTCTTCCTCTTGTTGGCTGCTACACCACCTTGGCTTTCTGTGGGTAAAATACGAACACCAGCGGCTTGCTCTGAAGAGAGGAGAAGGTGGGGGGGCCTGCTTACGCCGCGTCGTGTCGTCTGAATGAATTCTGTCCGTCCGCAGCCCCCCTTGCCCACCGCCCCAAGAAGCGAAGAAGCAAACACGTCACTTCGTAAAGGGTGCAACTGTTACTGAGAAAAAAGGTACTGACAGGGAAATTCGCAGAAAACTTTGCTGACGGCGGAGCTGCGCTGATGCAGCGATTTCAGCATCAAGCCTGGTTGTAATGCTGAATGCATTCTCATTTCCGTCTCTGCAACGGGCGTGTCCCTCCCTCAGCCGACTGCTTCGAAAGAGCAGGGCGCCACATACGCAGCTGCCCAGAGAAGACCTGCAAGAAAACGAAAGAAGAGGAACCTCGGCGCGCGCGAGGAAGCAGCATACCGAACTGCGTGGCAGGGGCGCGTAAGGAACACGAAACTCAGCAAAACATTCCGCTAAAGCGCAGGGTGCAGCTTCAAAAAACTTCTTGAGCCTGGTCAGCAAAGAATTATCATTCCCATACGTCGTGCAGTTGTCTCCCTTCCTTCCGCTCGCGATGCATTGGAGAGAGCGGATCGCTCCTAATAGAAGACAGAGCGGCCCGTACCGCCGGCCGTATCCACGCTACCGCTGGTGTTCGTATTCCTACAGACAACGGGGCTCATCTTTTGCTGTTGCTACGTAAAAAGGCGGAAAACCGCTGGTCTTGGTAGCTGTTATTGTGATGCCATCGTGGCGCTTCTTACCTGCGCTGCGAAACCTAATGTTTAGTGGCTGTACCAACCTTTGGGTGGTCTGCAGGAAATGAGAGCACACAGCCGCGACTGCAGGTGCTGGGGGCCGTTGTATTCGCCGTGTCGGAAAAAATGTAGGGGACACGTTTCGAAGTGGCGTGCGGCAGTGGCTGTTGCAGTCACCAGCTGTCGTCCTTTTTTACTCATATACACAGATAGCAGACTTTGTGCTGCAGTGCTGTGCATACGCACGTCTTGGCTCGCTCCTAGAAATACACGTGTATGAAGTGTGTATCTTTAGACGTGGAATACGCTATTCGGTACGCTGCCTGTCTGCTGGCTTGTCTGAGTGGCTTGATTGTACTTGCAGAGCCGTCGTAGTGCTTGCTATACGGCAGAAGCCTTCGTAAGACGTTTGCTGCTGCGGTCCAGCTTTCGCCGCTGCAGACGGAGCCGCCGCTCCCACAGGGTTGCATACGCTGCTGCGGCTGCGATGCTACCGCCCTTTGCTGACCACCACCTGTCTGCTGCTGCTGCTGGTGCGGCAGCAGTAGGCGTGTCGTCTTCAGCCGCTTCGCGTGTGAAGGGGCGGAACCGACAAAGCCATCCATGACACTGCATTCCATCAAAGTGCCTCCGGGAAAAACAGTCCTCCGTGCCCCTTTACTCTATTATAAACGCACCCTGTGTTATATTGTGGTCTTCAGTCTTGTTTTCCAACTACTACAGACAAAGTCGTCCTCTCTCGTGATGCGCATAGCCCTTTCGGCTTCCTTCTCCTCTTGCTGTTGCCCCGGAGCGCTCCTCCTTCTGGCGCCGGGGAAGCGAGAGGCAACGGCAACCGCCGCTCGTTTTGTTGGGGGCAGGGTAGTAGCGGCCTGTTGTCCGCCGGTACTCGCGGACGCGCCAGGCGGCCCTCGCTTTCTACACACGTGCTGCTACCAGCGTACTACTACTACTACTGCTACCGAGGCAGAAGGAGAACGGCGGTGGAGAAACCGCTTCCAAAGTGCTTCTCCCGTGTTCCAGCAGTTTCTGCGGCGATGCGGTACCATCTGGTCACCATCGTGGCGGGAGGCGGCGCTCGCGCTGTAGACGCCCCTGCTATAGTAGTGTACTACTACTACTAGTGCGACCGTGGCAGAGGGCGAACGGCGGCGGAGAAACCGCTTAGAAGGTGCTACTGCCGTGTTCTAGTACTTTCTGCCGTGTTCCAGGACCGCTAATCCGTATCGCGGCAGCAGGCGCTCGCACTGCAGACGCCCCTGCTGCTCCTAGTATGGCCGAAGCAGAAGGAGAACGGCGGTGAACAAACCGCTGAAAAAGTGCTTGTGCCGTGTTCCCGTACGTTCTCTCGCGTTCAAGTGCTTTCTGCCGCGTTCCAGTCGCTCCTAGTCACTACAGAGGCGAGAAGTGTCGCGCTCCCACAACTGCTGTTCCTTTCCGGATACCGTGTACTGGTCATTAGGGCGCCAGCGGTGCCTGCTGCTACTAGTGCCAGGGCAGAACGGGAACGGCGGTGGAGAAACCGCTTAAAGAAGTGCTTCTGCTGCGTTCCAGTACTGCCCAGTCACTAGGCGGGAAGTCGAAGTCCCACGACTGCAGTTCCTCTCCTGATATGTATATATGTATGTATACGTGTGCATATAATAGGTACCGGTCATTAGGGCGCCAGCGGTGGTGCCAGGGCGGCGCGGGTTCGACCGTAGCTCCGCAGCAGGGAGGCGCCAGCCTTGTGGGATCTATACGACGAGGCTGGAGGAGAACGGCGGTGAACAAATCGCTGAAAAAGTGCTTGTGCCGTGTTCCCGTACATTCTCTCGCGTTCGAGTGCTTTCTGCCGCGTTCCAGTCGCGCCTAGTCACTACAGAGGCGAGAAGTGTCGCACTCCCAACAACTACGGTTCCTCTCCTGATACGATGTACTGGTCATTTGGGCGCCAGCGGTGCCTGCTGCTACTAGTGCTAGGGCAGAACGAGAACGGCGGTGGAGAAACCGCTTTAAAAAGTGCTTATGCTCCGTTCCAGTACTGCCCAGTCACTAGGCGGGAAGTCGAAGTCCCACGACTACAGTTCCTCTCCTGATATGTATACATGTATATATACGTGTGCATATAATAGGTACCGGTCATTAGGGCGCCAGCGGTGGTGCCAGGGCGGCGCGGGTTCGACCGTAGCTCCGCAGCAGCAGGCGCCAGCCTTGTGGGATCTATACGACGAGACTGAACTGTAGTTACATGGGACGGGGGAGGGCCCTACAGCCTGCAGGCACCCCGGCGGAAGAATCAAGCGCGGCGGACCACAGATCCTACACTGGGGCCCCCCCCGCGAGAGCGACCAATGAAGGCTCCACTCAATAATCCATCTGAGCCGTGGGAAGACGGTCGTCAGCTCTAGATCTTCATAATCGGCGGCGTCGTGCTGCTGCAAGGGCAGGGCGGCTCATCATCACTCGGAGCCGAGAGAGGAGGCCACAGCGGTGCCAAGCTTGAAGGGCGCGCGGCCGCTGTCAAACGCCATCGCCGTGCGCAGTCGTACAAACACACCGTAGCAGCAGCGATGCACAGATGGAGGAGGACAGCTGATGAAGCTGAGCACGCCGTGGTTGCAGCCTGCGACGCAATAGCGACAACGCGGGTGTGGGGGGTGCGACAGCGCCCAGTCCGACGGCAACAACTCTAAGCCCGCGACAGGAGCAGCTGGTCGGCCGCTGCAGTAGGGGGCATCTGCGCGAGGACAGTCGAGCTACTAATTCTTACAGGCAAACGTCTTTCAGGTTGTCATGGAAGACGCCCAATGGGGGGGCCTTTGGCGCCCTTACAGCACGTTTAGGCGGTGCCCTTCGGTGAAATTCTGCACGGTAGCAGTCATGGTACCGATGACCAGCAGGAGCCTGCAGTCTCCGCATGGGCGAGGTGGGCGCGGGAGGCGGACGGGGCGCGTCCTCCGCGAGAGTACGCGCGATCGCAAACGCCTCTGGCCGCCTACGCAGCGCAGACGCGTCTCGTCGAGTCGGCGGGCTTCCCTGTTGTAAGGGGGGCCAGCTCTGTGGGAGATTCTTCCCGGATATGGTGAACGCCCCCACACGTGCACGACTTACTTGAGTACAGAAAACTGTGGTGTCGCTATCTTCACCGTGTCGTTCCTGTTTCTGGTGCTGCTCGCCGCGGCTTCTATGCGCCGGCGCCCCTTGCTGCCCCAGGGCCGGCAGAGCTGCCCCTTTCCATCTTGAGAACGCTGAAGGCGGGCTGCATAAGTAGGCTTCTCAAAAGAGGTTTACCTCCGGGGGAGAAGTCGGTAGACGCTATAGCACCATCTTTATTCGCCACCCTCACTTCCTCTTGCGAAGGCGATAAGTGCCACAGCACGTCCTCTGCGCTTTCAGGTTTTGCAGGGATGAGCGCTAGCGAGGCCCTTGAGCCATCACCGTCCTGAACTGTCACGCTATACTTGTCATACTATCTGGGCAGGAAAACCAGAAAGGCCCCTGACAGCGGAGTGATATGGCAGCCTGGTGCGTCCTTCGGAGGCCACGCTACAAGTGCAAGGCACAGACAGTGTACAACGCCGAGCTCGCTAGGACGACCACGCCAGTCCTCGGACAAGGGCGCTGTCACGCCGGCTACGACGAAGACCCGCTTCGGGCAGCCGTCCAGGATAGTGACCTGGTTTGCGAATCTTCTATGGAAGGCGCCCGTCTTCCGTGGGACAGGCTGGTGTAAAGCATGTGTGCTCGCCAGCCTTCACTTGGCCAAGCTGATCGTGTGTTGCTATCGCAGGTAATGATCCTCTTCGGTCACGTGTACCGCGCCCGAGCGCAAGCCGCTGTTAGCTTTGTTAAGACAGGCTGGTGTGAAGTGTGTGTGCTTGGCAGTCCTCACTTGACCGAGCTGGTCGTGGGTTGCTACCGCAGGTATTGGTCTTGTTCTATCATGTGCACCGCCTTCCGAGCGCAAGCGGCTGTTATCGTTGTGACGGGCGCAGATTGCCGACGCTAATTTATGTGCCAGTACGGGTCAGTGAAGGAATGTACATCGTCGGGGGGCCGTTGTTAACCCCTGTACAGGCGGCACAGTGAGCAGCAGGGGCTAGCACGAGGGAAACAGAGACTTCGTGGAGACCTAGACAGGGAAACAAGCACTGCAGCTGCCCACGAGTTACCTCTGAGCGAAGGAACTCGTGGTGGACCAACAGGATGAGCCGGGAAAACCGCAGCACCGGCGGACGTCCCCGCCGTGGTACAAAGTGGCGGGACACTAGAAGGACCAGCAAAGACCGATGTGCTATTCCGCGGGAATCGCATTCAATAGAAAAAACTAAGAGCTGATGTCGCATCAGCAACTTGAGCTCAGCGCGGCGCCGTGTATCCTGCCACCCCGCCTTCGGAGCCGCCTCGGCCGGCCACCGATGGTACGCACCCACTTTGTCGGTCTCTCTCCCGCGCATAAAATGCCTCTCTCCCAGGTGCTCCTCACTGACGCACTAATAGTACCGCAGTGCTACTTTGATTCCCAGTAGTACATTACGGTTGTGTAGAGGCCAGTGACGCAGAAGGAAGTATTCCGTGGAGCCGCTGCCGCGCTAGACGGGCACTGCGCGCTCCTGCACGCAGGACTTGCTGGCCGGCACACCGCCGCTTGACCCAATATTTTCACTATATCCGCCGTATACGGACGAGCTGTCCATAGTAAATGGTGTGACACCACCAGCGTGGTAGAGCAATATCCATGGAGTGGCGTACGCGGCGGGTCGCTGGAAGGTACACAGGAAGCGCGTGTAGTTATCGTGTCGCGCGCACAGGCACTCTCACCTGTAAAACGTTTTCTGCTGCGCATTTTCGGCCCAAATCTTTGTGCCCGTATAGGGTTCACTCCATAGCAACATCTCCCTCCTTGTATATATATGTATACGTACAACTCTCTACACGAAGACACATACATGTATATATACAAGGCTCGTAGAGACAGGCAGTCGCACGACCACGACCAGCTTCATCGTCATGGACTGCTGCTTCTGCGTCGCTCGGGGAGACGCGACCGAGGTAGACGCTGCATAAAACAGAGTAAAGACCTTAGCTTGTGACGGCGACTGCGGCCCCAATGGACGACGCCGCAGATCTCAGTGCCTAGTGACGCATAGTATTGTCCACCCGATATTCCGTCTATTCTGGCGCGCCGGCCGTCCGTGTCACGCGCAGCAGGCACCGCGTGCTTTCTTGTACAATCGTTCATACGCGTATATGGGAGCAGCGGACGAGCATGAAGCCTCGAGAGGAGCGCTTGGGCTTGCACCGCACCAGAGGGTGAGCCGGAGCAATGTGGCTGCTCCCAGGCTACGAAAGACCTGTGCTGTTCCCTCTGACATGGCACAACCGGCCGTACACACACGCGGCTCCAATATTCTGAAGCCCATAACGAGGTGTCGAGGTCCTTCACCGCACTGTACTGCATATTCTGCGTTCTCCGCACTTGCGGAGATTATATCAGAGGTATAGCTGTTACGTATACCACGCTGTACTGCCAGCTCAACTCATTACCGTAAGCAACCGCATAAGAGGGCACCGTGCGCACAGAAGCTCGGCTGCAAGCCTGAGCCGGGCCGCGAAGCAGAGGTAGAATTTGACAGGTATCGTCCTGTAAGGCGTGCAGTTGCTAGTAGAGCTGTCACGGGGCTGCGCCGTATTCCTTTCGACTCCTTGGCGGTGGAACCCCAGGGCGTCTCTATTATCACGTCGCGATTGAGTCAATGCCGCATACAAGTGGTGACTGCGAGCATCTACCAGAGACGGCCACCCTGCTGTCATTTGATAGAGCTGTACAGAAGGCCGCCGCGTTAACAAGTGCCTAGTTTCTCCTAATTGAATGAGTTTATTAGGGGTCTTCCCATCCTCTGACCCTCGCATGTTTAGTTGAGATCAGCGCCTAGGGTACGCGTGAGCTAGGTACGACAGTATCAACCGGTGGCAAGCTCCAGGCCGCTGACATTTGGAGAAAGAACGATAGAGGAGGCTTCGGTCGCCGCATTTTTTAATAGCGCCTCACCGTCTAACCCCAAGACCCGGGCTCAGCAGCTGTGGAGTGGAGAGCACCAGCCTGCATTTCTAGTCTCAATGCCGGGAAATAGTGAAGCTTTAAGAGGGTGGCCAAATGCTGTGCCCGTACACCAGCTCCTAGAGCGGTATCTTAATGGCGCGCGAGTGTGAGTCTTCTTTATTATGGTTCACCGCCTGGTTACGTACGCAGTGAAGCCGGGACTGACCTGATTCCCAGTCGCTGTTGCACGGCAGGGTTGACTCGAGAGCAAATAGCGTAGGGGGACGATTGGCCTGGTGGCAGTCATGCCACGCGTGCGGATTGACGATCAGCAACGCCCTGTACCGTGCATAAACGAGGCGCCGCTGCAAAACCCTGCATCCTCGCTCTTGAATGCTAACTGCAGCGCTGATTTCACGCTCTGCAAAGACGTCAGTTTGAGCGAGCAACCGCGGAGCTGCCGTAATACTACGGAAGCAGATGGACGCCTGTACAGGCGGTAGAAGAGCGTAGTCAGACGCATGCGTGCTCCTAGTAGATCTAGGTATCGGGAGTGTTTTTTTGCGAACCGCTGCAAATCGCGGAATGCGCGTCGGCGGCATCGAACATCAAAGCGGAGGAAAAGCGGGGCCAGATTGTTGGTGTTACGATGTTGCTACAGGTTTTCTGATGGTTAACGACATGGGTTTGGTTCGCTGAAGCCACTGTGAAGTTCATCCTGAATGGTGGGACACAGAGCCCGGGCGCCTTTCTTAGTCCACCAAACATATCGTCTTGGACACACAGGGAGACCACGAGGGTTTGAAATTTCGGGTATCTTCTAGTCTTTTGACGAAATCTGGTAGGGGAACTCCTACGTACGCGGTGGGGTCATGCCGTGTTTCGGCTTTCGGGCATACCTCTGGACCGTTGACGGCTGGTGGTGCTTTATTTCCACGGCTCGTCACGAGGTAGCCGTCCTTTTGCTTTCACGAGATTCTCTACGAATTTTTCCTCAGGCTGCGCACCAGAAAGGATGATCATGTACGGTCCTCGCTTACACCTGCCCTGTATTACTTTTCAAAGGATAGGCCCGCTCACTCGCGGCAACGTACGCTAGACCAGCTTCACCAGGCGAGCTATTTTGCTCTAACCATGCAGGAGCAATCTTCTGCGGGGGTAGAACAGCAAACACTGCACCGCTTCGCGGTGCAGTATCTGCTGGGCCGTGTACACGGCGCATCAGATCAAGGGAAAAAGCCATTAGATGCGCGTAAAGGTCCTTGCGAGCCAGAACCCGCCTCCTCTCACTCATAAAGACATCAGCTTGTGCTCTATCGTGTCTTTTAACCGACCCACGACGCTGTCTAGCGCGTCACTTATTACAGGCGTCTGGATTTTGGTACTGCTTATAGCCGCCGAGGTGTTCGATCATTTGAACAACAAGGTTCTCGCGGCGGGCCCCGTCGACACAGCGCTGCTGGTAAGAAAGTAGTCGTTCAGACATCTTACGCCGGTATTCCATGACTGGTCACAGTCAGTTGGCGGCGCCGCCCGGGGTACGACGGCGTTGTTTACGTCATATGCTCGTGACAGTCTAGGGAGGCGTAGACGTACAAGTTTTGGTACACGTGACTGCGTTAGAGCGAAGAAATTTATCGAAGGGAGCCGGCTCTAGGGGCTTTCAGTGTATCCGTGGGATGAGAATTTTTTTCCTGTTGTGTTGCCGACCATAACAGCTTGCGCTGAGCGCGTCTTTCGTGAATACCCTGGGGTGTAGTGTCTTCTGTACTGCTTTCAGCTGCTGATTTACCGCCGTAAGAGTGTGTGGTCACCCAATCGCTGATGTTTCCTTGGTGGCGCTGTTATCTGTTGCGCACAGCAGCGGCGTAAACTCCTCTCACCGCATATCTTTAGATATTACACAATCTTTCGTTTGCTGTGCAGTGCATTACCGAAGGAAGTGGGCTGCATGCTTTACTGGATTTGATGCCGTCGTGTGGATCACCGTGAAGCCCTTCATATTAGTGAACCCGTACGATGCGACGAGACAGTGAAGTTTCACCTCATAGTGTCTGGGAGGAGCCACAAAGGCAGAATCTAGGGGACCATGGGCACTAGAATATACACACAGGGTGTCACTGGGGAAATAAGCGTGGAGAAGTCTTCCTGGCGCGGACTTCTGCTCGCCTGTTTTCGACCACAGGCTTACCAGCGCGTATGGGTGGGCTTCTGTCAGCCCAGCTCGGACAATTTTCTGTATGCATCGCTTCTTAGTTGAATTCCTGATTTGTGGACGACGCAAGCGGTCCCGCTTTTAGCAGGCGCGCATACGGCGTGTACTAAAAGGCAGTTGTAGTGCAGCGGTGCGTTGCTCAGCATTCCTCGAACGCCGTGGAATAATTCGTAGCCACCTACCGCCTGCACGCAAATGCTGAGTATTGGTCAGCTGGTGGAGTGATGGATTTGGTGTCCTGCACATCTTGTACGAGTTGATAAAGGATGTCTCGCACTCGCGCGGCCTGTTGGCCTTCTGATCATCCGTCCTGCTCTCGCGCAACTCCTGGCGTTTTTGTATGGAAGAACATGTACTGGTGCATTTGCTGCAGTGTCTTTCCGCAGGATCCAGTATGTGACGGCGGCTCGTTAATGCTGCGAGACTGCTTTGTTTTGACTGTAGGATGATGTAGATGTAGAAGAGATCAAGGAGAGCATTCCTAGGGTGAGGTATATCCGCCGGAGTGACACCGGGAAGACCTCTGGTGCGTCAGCAGCAGACGACGCGCGGCTGCTTGCCCGTAACAAACCGTACGTGTTCGACGCTAGGAGGCGGTCTTTTCTCTCTGCACCCAGACGAGATGAAGGACCGCTGCCTCACGGCACGCCTGGCACAGGCAACAGGTGTGCTGTTTTATTATGGGCCCACGACTGGCCTGTGGATGGTTCTGACAACGGTCGACAACCCTTTGACTGGACTTCGTACTGGTTAGTCTACCGCTCGTTGTAAAGGACTCGTGCAGGAGTCTCGCTTGATTCGGTGTTCTGGATCCGCGGTGCCACGCCGGTGCGCTTGCACGTTTACCTCTGCCGCGCAAATATGTGTGTTCGGCTTTTTCGTAAGCTTCCGTATGTACCGTGTCCCCACGCTGAGGACGGCTGATGGTGATGCGCGGCGCTGGTTACCCCAGGGTATGATGGTGTGTGCTGGTAAGTCTGGCTGTGAGCGGGCGCATAGTCTTTCATTGAGTGATACAAGTCATAATTGGTGATATAGCATCGGCAGTTCACCCGAGTACGATTTTGCTCTCTGACCGAAACGAGATATACGTCTGTGGCATCACGCAGAGAGGCTTGTGTAGTTGGACGTGTCTGAAGAGTAAGGATGACCGGTGAGTACATTATGTCTGCAGCCTTTCGCTTTTCATCGGGGACAAGTATGTGGCAGCGTCGGCGGGTTAGTCTGTGGACCGTGTTAGTCGGACAGCACCCCTGGCGTTGCATCGAGCAAGACCTGTGACTGGTAGGGTGCACGTGTCTGTCCGCGGGCGCGGGGCACGCAGGAGGTACTCAGCCGTAAGTGTTACAGTTCTACTACATGAGCTGCATATCTTTCGGCGTGCGTGAGTGATCGCGCGTCGACAGATAGGTACCCTTCACACTTCCGCTTCGCTGACGTCAACACCTTCCGGGCGTTTCCTCAACACGCTGATAGATTTTGCTTCTTCTTTTGAGAAACGCTGATTCAAGCGCCAACCATTTGAAATGCCAGCTCATATCGCGCTTGCAGAGGAAGTCAGGGCACAGCGACATCAAAGCGTAACTATGAACGGAGGCGCATACAGAGTGTCTTGCGCTACGCCTCTAATGGCTTGCCCGCGAAAGCAGTCTTGCGGGGCTGCATTTCTAACGAAGGACGGCATATAGCTGCGTTCTCAGCTACCTGTGTTCGCCTTACTGATAAACGTTGTACTTGTTCGTGCTTCAGCGCCTTGAGTGTTTGGTTCGTTTGTGTATAGCGCTTGCGGTCGCCTGTATGTTGGTGTCATTGGTTTTTTTTTTCTGCTGTAGCTCGCTTATATTTATATGGAGTTCAGACGAGTCTTTGCGACAAGATGTCGTGTGTACTTTTTCTGCGCGCGTGCGTTTGTTTTCAGGCGTGCGTTCCACAAGGAACTGGAGCGTCGAGGAGAGTTCCACCTAGTCGTTGTGCTGGCTCCTGACGCCAGAGGCATTGGCCCTGCTAAGGCACCCGTAGTCACGAGTCTGCATCATTATGCAGGTTTTCTTGCGCGGCAGGTGACTAAGGCACTAGAGACTCTCTTCTCGCCGGTCTCTCCCTCTGTGCCTCCAGCGCAGGCTTCCGCATCGCAGAGCGACTCGTCGCCTGCAGGCTCTGCCGCGTCGCACTCTCCTTGCGTATCGTCGCGGCCCCCTTCGACAGGGTCCTCTTACTCTGGAAACGCCTGATTAGCGTAACGTCTGGATCCACAACTGACAGTAAACTTGGGTGTTTGTCCCTGGGCCAGTCGTCTTCGCGTACGTCGCCGTCTGCTGTTTCCAGTCATCCTCCTTCTGAACCTGACACCGATAGTGTTTTTGCTTCTTTAGAATATGATACAGTGAGCTCACCAGGGGGGCGGCCGTTCTCGCCGACGGGCTCTTCTGTCGTTGGGACGTCGGAGAGTCCGGATAGCGCCAGGCGTTCGAGTGTATCTCGATTCTCTGCACTCATGCGCGGGTGTTCGTCGCGGCTTTCGCTGAGATCATCGAGGTCGTCCGCAGCTGGGACACCAACAGTTAGCCGCCCGAAGGACGTTGTACACCCGAAAACTACGAGGGGTGCTCAGGGATCACAAGAAGAAAGTAGTGGTTCTCTCTCCGGTTCAGGCTGCACCAGCGTAGACCTATTTCTCTTAGGCCGTGGCCTTGGCGGTCAGGCTGTTAGGTTGATGGCCGCCTGGCCGACTAACTCACTGTGGGGTGAAGGCCGAAGCGCGGAAGAGCAAATGTGGCGGGAATGGGTGCAGGTCCTGCACAGATCGCTTTCTGCGAACGTGCATAGTACTGATAGTCCATGTAGCGGTGGTGAAGCCGGCCCCATGCGCAAGCGGTGCACGAGCGCGCCGCCGAGCGAACAGAGATCTTGCCTTCGCGCCGCAGTCAGACTCGGATGCTTCAGATGGGGACATATCGCCTGAGAGCCGTCCCCCGCGTCGGAGACGTTCTAAAAGCAGCCGCACAGAATCAGCTGACGCTTCGGTCAAATGGTCTTCGGGTGGGGCGTCGTCGCTGTCCACGAATAAGACTACAGGGTCAGAATCTTTGACCCCGCAGGAGCGACGCGTACGCTTTAGTTCTCTCCTGCGCTACTCGTCATCGGATAGTTTCGGTTTGTCTTCGTCTGATACGGATTCCAGTGACAGCGAGGCCTGCTGCGCTAAGGAAGAGGAGGAGGGAAGAGAAGGTGAAGGCGAAGGCGAACGACACGAAGTAGTCGACAAGAAAGGCGCCGAAGACACAGCCGCACCTAGTAGCGGCTCCTGCGTGCTGCTGCGATCTGTAGTGCTAGAAAACACACCGCTTGCCGGCCTGCAATCAAAACATGATCAGCGGCGTTGGTCAGCCGGACGACGTTCTAGGCGGTCCTTATTTGGACGAGGAAGATTACGAGATGCGCGGTCAAGGGCTGATCGAGTATTGCGTCACCAAGACGCCGAACTCATGCTTTGCAACTTGGCGCGTGAGGAGAAACAGTCATATGAGCCGCGTGCCCATGGTGGAGGCTCTCTTATCAGTCGTTTCGATACAACGTTTTATTACGGGATATTGGACGAAATTAACCCATGGGTGACGGCAACCGAGCTAGGGCTTGTTTCCCCCGTCTTGACGCGTTCTGCAGCAGTGCAGAAACTGCGCTGCAGTCAGGGCGGGGGAGGCCCATGCAAAATGATAGATGCTGCAGCGTCGACTCTGAACGCGGTGATACGGCCACACCCCCCCCCACAACCAGACGTTCTCCTGGGGGAAGTACGCAGAGTAGCGATCCGGGAAGCCGTTTCAGTTTAAGCCGCTTAGTCCTAGACATGCGAAGATTTGTAGTGCGAACCGTGGCTAGCATACGTGATGCCATGTCCAGAAGCGGCACGGTGGTAGATGCCCCAGTAAGCGAGTCGGAGCATGTCACGATGACCGCCGGGCGACGAACAAGCGTGAGCACACTAGAAGAAGGGGACGTGCATTCAGAGCCACACGACACCAGTACTGAAAGAAAGCATCCAGGTGAAGAGCAGCAGCATCAGGGCAGGCCTGTGGCGTCTGCAACGAGGTTGACACATCGAAGAGGAGACAATGGTGAGCAGCACAGACGATCCAGTGGTGGAGCAGCAGCAGCGGCGGGAGGGGCGGATTCGCCTCTCATTACAGACAACGCATCCGAGGGAAACGATGAGAGTAACATCAAGGCGGAAGAATCCGAGGGAGGTGATGAGAGTGACACTGAGCCGGAAGATCATGAAGCAGATGTAGACAGTGATACAGAGCAGAAGCATTCTGTCAGAAAGCACCGCACAGCGGTGTCACAAACCCTGCAGTATCTAGTATCTTACCCGGACCTTTGCAGGGCGACTCCGAAAAAAACATCTGTACGACCTTACTCTCACGCTGCTTGAAGGGATAAACTTTGGCCAACGTCCCCGCTGCTATAATCCAGCGCGGATAGGAATCTGGATGACGTCTTCTGGTGGCCGAGAAAGTAAAGGAGACCGCCGGACGGGAACGGGGGGTTCATTTGAAGAAGAGCTGGAAGCGGAGCGCATACTTCTGCACATGTCTGTGAGGGCGTTTCAGTCCAGAAGACACGTCAGGCGCCGTGGTTTCGATGGAGACAACAAGATTCGTCGGACGGACTGGTTCTCTGGTCCGCGCCTGACAGAGGGGGAGAGCGTGACTACTGCGGATCTGGACGTGGAATAGGGTCGGTCGGTGCTAAAGATGCATTTTCAGCTGCTTGTTTTTTTCCAATGGTGAAGGCCTGTGATAAATGCGCTGCTGCGATCTTTCTAGTGGTAGGTCGCCTGCGTTGTAATCTTGGCTTGTGTGGCCTCTTTCAGAGGGGATGTCACAGGTTTAAAAAAATTGTATTGCTGTTGTCTTCTGCTCGGGTGTCAGCACGTTCTTTGCGATGTGGAGAGGGCATCATTTTTGAGGTGGGGATAGTAGTGCTGTAACTGCAAATGCCTTGTAGATAGGAAAGCAACGTACGATTTTTTAAGGTACTCGGTTTTTTCTGCGTGTTTGCGTCCTACATGCTATACCGTCAGAGTGCAGTGCTTACACCTCCTACTCGAATACATGCATCCACATTGCAAAGGAGTGCCGATATTTCGTTACTAGCGAGCGTGTGGACGCAGTTGCAAAGCAGACGAAGGTCTTCGGACGTACAAGGGAACATGTGTACCGCAAATACTTCAGAACGAGCTTTTTATAGGTTGCGGATACTGTTAGCCCAGCGCCGTAAAAATGCATGGAACGTTTTGCGCATCTGGGGGTCAAGACGCATCTTGGTACGTGAGAGCGGACACTGTCTGGCTCTGTTAAGATATCCGCATGCGCTTGTTGTATCAGGGCAACTGGACGTGGGGACATGGCTGCACTGACGGTTCGCAGCGTGCATTTGCACGGGAATGCAGGGGTTATCTTGCTTTGCGAGGGTACATGCACATGTTTACACAATGCGAGGTGCAGTGATTGTCTTCCTCGTGCTTCACCGCTGAGAACCACTGGCCGCACTGAGGATCTGCTGGTGAGGATAGGAATATTCTGGTATGTGAACATGACGTTACATCAGAAAGCAAGGGCGAGGTGCAGACGTATCTACAGTATGGGTACGCGGAGAAACTAGCACGTAGTCAGCACGGCGAACACGCGGTATGCGTCGCTCGTGGGCTGATTAACACGCATATATGCTCATGAGAGGGGCGGCCTTGCATGGTTTGTTATGTGAGCACCCTGCGTTTGAGAAAGCACGGACAATGCGGGAATTTATAGCAGACTGATTAGCGTGGCCCCAGTTGTTATCTTGGTCCTGGCTTCTGAGTAGGATTTGTTCAGACGGTTATCTCGACTGGTGACGATGAAAGGTGGTTGACGCGGTGTCCGATGATTGTTACGAGGCTGGAGTATACAGGCGCGCGCACCCAGGAAGATGCTTGTACAGGCTCAAAAGAGCGTACAGGGTCGTTCCGCCACGCTATCCTGTTACCCCGTCTGTCTTGTATCACGCAGTCTGCATGTGGACTGCACTGCTCAGCTTGCTTGGGGGCTTGGGAGCAAAGCTGGGTTCCAGCGGGACGGACCTACGGGCTTTTTGGTTTTTACTTGCAGTGTGTGAGGCAAGCGCCGTCTTCGGGCGCGTGCGCAAAGAGAATCAAATGGAGTTTTGATAGGTATGGCATGTCTTCTTTTTATGGCGGAGATTTGTGCGGGCTTCTAACGTCACTCCGGACTACGCTGGCCTCAGGGATAACAAAGAGGGTCCTGGTAGTCCTCGCGTACACACCTGCGCGCACTCGCCGCATGCTCATACAAATATATCAATAGACTGTGTAGTGCCGCGCGTGCTTCCGCAGTGGTTCGTGGGTATTTGGCGTCATTCTGGGCTACCCACGCATATACGTATGTCCCTTTGTGTTTGCACGCGCGAAGTGTCCCACGTCATGCTGCGAAGCTGACGCCTGTATGTATACATATATATTTGCATGTACATATACTCACGTTTCATGAATGTATTTGCGCTGCGATGCATGGTTTCCACCGCGGTATGCACTCCCGCCCATTTCGCCTTCTGCACTCTTGCAGTCTTACCGGATTCAAGCAGGGGATGGAGCGAAAGTAGGACATGGATGAACTCTGGTAATACGGCCACAAGTGCAGTAAAGTTTTTTATCCTGATTTCGCCTCACGGTTTTGATACCGACCGTCAGTTGCGTGGTCGCTTTCAGGAAGCGCGACCCGCATTTGGACATAGAACAACGTAACTACCTGGTGCTGCCAACGAACTTTTTGGCGGATAATGCGATGATTAGCTGTGGTGCATGCACCCCGGCGTGAACCCGGGGGAATCTTTGCCGACTATTATGCGCCGCGCGCTCGCGGGAATGACTGACACGACCGAGGCGGCGGCCCCGGCCCTCGCTGGGTTCGCTTTTGCTGGTAGTCTAGTCGCAACACTATTAGAAACAAGTTCGTCGAGGAGGCTCAAGTCGGCACTGGCATGGACGGCCCCTTGCGGTCAGTGCACTGTCAAGCAAGCTTCGTTGTTTTGTCTCCTTACACAAGCCTGTGGCTGAGACGAAGAGGTCTGCAATCCGCAGTAAAAGAAATCGCGTGGTGTAGTTCGACGTCCTCCTTGTCCACTTCGCGGCGTGTCATGAAAAGCGTGTCGGTGAGGCTGGCAGGTGTGCAGTCTGCAGTGCAAGCACCTCTATTCGTCGCGTAAACCTACCACTTCTTCATTAGCTTCGCAGACTGTTATGAGGATGACGCCGGGGACAGTATCTTAGGATAACGAACATGATTTCACCCACTAGCGCAGTCGGGAGGTCCGTCTCTTAACAAAAGCGTATGCGGCTGACGCGTTGGAATGTGCATGTGGAGAAGTCTCTTTCTGTAGTGTTAGTGGAGTTCCTTGTTCAGCATCGCTGGTTGCCGTGACGGACGTGTCCGTGGAAGTGTTGCAGCACGGCAAACGCGAGTGCATCTTGAAAATATCCGCCGGCAGACGCGTCGACGTTCTGGAGAAGTGCACGTCCATCATTCCAGACTTCCGCAGTCACAATTACTTGACTTCTTCTCTGATGCGGTATTGCCTACGCAGCGGATACACAACTTCGCTGTCTGTGCGAGTCGCATCATCGATGTGCCGCTAAGTCTGGGGTGCCTGCCTCCTGTCTGTTCCGTATAAGGACCTGGAGCTGCGTAGCACAAGCCGTGCATTCAGTGGCGTATGTGTTTAACGCGATTTCAGGCGCCAGCAGAACCAGGAAGACAAGGCGGCAGTGCGTGGTTGTCTTTACGGGTCCGCTCTGCGGAACGGTACTGCAGACCACGTAGATCGTCTCTCAGAGGTGCACACTGTTGTGTGTGCGTCTACCTAGTTGCGTACATGTATCGCTGCACTCGTCTGCCAACATGGGTGCGATACGCAGGTGCGCTCCGTAGTGTAAGTTTCATGACGGTGGTCCGCACTGTTGTGTCTGCGTCCACTTACTTAGATACATACATAGATGCACTCGTACAACTATATGATCGCCCGACACGAGAGCAATCAGCTGTTAACGGTCGCTTTGAATTGAGCTTGGAATCCTTCAGCGGATCCTAAGGGGCGTCGCCGCTGGCAAAGCTTTGCACTGAGAGGCTTCGTACGTATCCCGTGGCTGCGGCCCGGCTGGTGAATATCATCAGAGCCTGGATGCTTAGCAGGAGCAATGTCATATGTCTGGCGGACTTCGGCGGTGGCTTCTAACATGCTCTTTGTGGCAGTCAGTGTTCAGCTGCACTGATGACACCGCTCAGCAGCAGTATCATCAGCTGCTCTATGTACAAAGGGGCACGTAGTGAGGCATCTTCTTTCGGTCCCAGAATCTTGCTAGAATTCTTGGCCGCACACAGCTGTGCGTATGATGCCTGATAACACCTTTCGCACATAATAAACGTTCGGTAAGCTTTATGAAATCTCCACTCGCTACCGCAGCGCCTTTGTAGTATCCCATCGATTACTGCGAGCTGCAGAGGCGACAGCACACCTATTGTCCCCCCTGAACAAGAGGGTCTGCCCTTGCGGGACACACCATCTGATACTCTTTCCGCTACTGCCGTTTGCCCCTTGCGTTGTTCTCAAATCGCGAGAGCCATCACCTGCTGTCGGAAATGTTAGCAAATAGCGGCGTTTGTTCTTTGCAAAGAAGCACTCACGGGAAGCTGGCCGCTAGCTTTAATACAATGTTTGCTTTCGTCAAACTTCGTCCTCGTTAAGGCCGCGACGCAGTACTGGTCCACTATTGTATCGGTGCTGTAGGAAATCTAGTCGGTCACTTTCCTCACTATTGAGCTGCAGCGGCAGAAAATCAAGCCGATGCGAAGAAAAAAGAGAAAGAAGGCTTTTCACAAAGTGGTTGACGTGTTCATGCACCAGGCGCGCACTACAGCCGCAGGGCGTGCGCAGGGCGCGTGAGAATGAAGCTGCATCGCGACTGTCCGGTTTACCAGCGGCGGCCCAACCGTGCACACTAATACACCTCTTTACACACCGACAAGTCTTCGGTGGGCTGCAGTATAGAATGGACGGAGGCAGATGAATTTCTAGGCTTTACAGAAAGCAGCCGGCAGCGCTCATGTGCACGGAGAGCGGAGAGACGGTACCCCCGCTGCAGGAGCGGATGTAGACATGAACATGTGGTTATCCTAGCACAATCCGCCGCTGGTAACAGCCATTGTAAAGAGACACAAAACCGAAGCAGGTGCTTCAAGGCCTCGCGTGCGTACAGAGGAAGACAACGCAGAGCAGGTACCGTGTGGGAGCGAAACGACACGGTTTCCCATCGCAAGCCTTCCTCACACACAGCGAACGGAAACCATAGTACATCGGCCGCGTCGATAGGTAGAGTGTGGCATGTCGCGTGGCGGATCCATAATTGGAGCAACAGGCTAGAGCAGTGCCCTGGCACCCGATAGGGAGGAAGCAGCAATGGCACACATGCACCCGCACCATTCAGAAAACGGCACATTTCGACCCCGAAACGACAAATACACCTCTTACCAGTAAACTACGTACGATGTTTGCAAAGACCTTCCCACCGTCACGACATCCGACAGCCACTGAAGAGCTAAGCTGAGTACCAGCTATCTACCGGTCTCGCTCGTCGGAGCAACCGCTCGTGGTGATTTTCGAGATGCACGTCGTAAATAACTCCAGAAGCCACAAACGCTTTTGTGCGGCGTCTGTGTACCTCCTCACTCGTCCGCAAAGAAGAGTATGTATCGTGTTGGACGTGGAAGGGCTACGTATATTGCACAAGCGTCAGCTGGAAAGTCGCCTGAGAAGCAGACAGAAGTGCTGTAGCTTTTGAGGTGTCATATTCTGGCACTGTACCTCTCAGCCCTATAGCGTGGGTCGCTGCGCCCCTGCGCCATGTCACTATAGCATTACGCACAGCTGACTGGGTGCGCGCGGAACACCTGGAGGAAAGACTTTGTAATACTGCCTTGTAGATGGATACTTTTAAGTGCTACTGGTAGTCCATGGATGATTTCTACTAGCTCTGGGAGCAGCAGCACTAATAAAATAAACGAGAGGAGGCGTGCTTATACAGCAGCACGGCATACAGCAGCACGGCACAGTCAGTACAAGCATGTATGTCGCTTTCGCTGTTGCTATGGCGCGCAACATGCAGACGCAAGTAGTAACCCCGCATGCGCGAGGAATTCGGAACTCTCATGCAGTTGCTATGTTACACTAAGATTAGACTCGAAGAAGAGGTGCGTAAAATACGCGAGCGGAGGACGAGTAGAGAAGCACAAATGTGCGTATCTCAGCAGTTGCAGACAGATTCTTTTTTCTACTATACACGTTGTCTGCATAGCGTCTTCGGATGGTGTCTCGGGACCTCACAAATCTCCGCTGCTGCACTGTTGCTGTCTACATCGTCTTTCTGGCTACGCCAAAAGACGCCGTTACCAGGTGCAAGAAGGTGGGGCTTCTCGAAGCTGGCACTACTAGTGTTGTTATAGCTGTTGCTCCTGAGGGTGCTACACCTGCAGCTCCAAGCTACTGCTACTGCTGCTGCTACTGGTTCAACAGCGGTGGGCCTGGCTGAAATTGTAAACACAGCTCCCCCCTAACTTCTGTGGCTCAAGCAGCACTTGCTAAAGCAGCTGCTACAACACGAGGTACTCGCTTCTGTGGCTGTTACCGTAGGTGTTTCAATACCGGGTACTGGCGTCTGTGGCTAGGACATTAGCTGCTGCGGTAGCTACTACCGTATCAGGTACGAACGTGTGTGGCTGGTACAGCAGCTGCTATAGTAGACTCTACAAACACCACATATTACTGCTGCTGCTACAGCTGGACTGTGACGCAGGATCACCCGCTGTTGCCACTGCTGACTCTACGAAAAATGCAGCGGACCCCCATGATGGCGAGGACTCTCTGGGCATGGCTACACCTGCTGTTGCTCTCTACGCCTGGAGAATAATATGCGGCTCGACCTGGCTAGAGCAGGTCCTGCGCCGGCATTCTATACATAAATGTATATATATATATATATATATATATATATATGTGTGAACACCTCAAATTCATTCTTCGGATAAAGTACAGTGGCTGAAATCAAAAAGTCTCCTACACAAGCCGTTGCCATTGTTCTGTGTATGCAACGTCCCCCGGTCATAGCTAAGTCTACCCAAGTATGAACATATACGTTTGCACATATGTATATACACATATATATATATATATATGGATTTACCTGTACATATGTGTCCGAATTTCCGGTATCTTCCGTCTGTATTACAATACATGAAGTAGCAGAGTGTAGCTACGCCTGCTGTTGCTACTGTCTTCTGAATAGTAACCTGCACCGTACCCTGCTCATGGCGGCGCCTATCCGGGCGAAGATATACGTGTATGTAGACGTGTATACATATATACACGTTTCTTTAGCGGTGTGTGTATGTATAAATATATGGATACATATTTGTACACACGTACACAGCTGCGTATAGAAATGTAAAAATACGTCATATCACTCTTATGTCGTCCAATACATGCAGTAGGAGAGTCCCGTTGCCTTCGCTGTTGCATTTGTCCTCCGTATAGCATTAAGCAACGTACCCTTGTCATAGCGAAGCCTCCCTCGGGCTCTGCCCGAGAAGTGCCTTTGCGGCGGCGGCGCAGCGCGTAATGAGAGACCAGCAGCAGACCACCCACTCCGGCAGCAGAGACTAATAACACCAGTAGCGCACTGGGAGGTCTCTCTCTGTATACATCAACAGCAAATACGGCAACATTACTCCCTACCGCCAGAAGCACTTTTCTGCATTAGAAACGAAAAACATGAGAGTCATTGCACTCGCGAGTTCCTCTCTGTATACATCGCCGGCAACCACAGCACCTTATCACTGACAGCAGTTTCTGCAATCAATCAAAGTTGCACTTTCTCTACCTCTGCTACGACTGATTCGAGCCTGACGGGATACCGGTATATACATAACAATACAGGTAGCAGCTTCTTAACGGAAAGAGGGCTATCTGCATAGAACGAATCGGCGGCTCCGCATCAGAGTGAAACAGAACGAATATTGCGCTCGAGGGTATCTCTCTATAGGCTCTTGCCGCAGAGGCAGCTACTTATATACGCGTATGCGTCATCGTGAAGGCATAAGCAGTTCTCCTGCAACGAATAACACGAGAGCTGCGCCTGCGGGTTTTTCCGTGTGCGCGTCGACATCAAAGACAGCAACACTTCTCTCTGTATCGTACTGAGAGCAATTCTACAAACGAGAGACGCTCTTTACTCCATACAATAGATTCAACAGCGCCAGCAGATCGTACGCTCACCAGGCGCGCTACCGCCTGTGATATGTCTGCGTATATATTCACTGTAGCGTGCACGGGTACTGGTAGCAGACGTACGCGTAGCATATGGCATCCAAGCTGCACACTTCCGTATATATAAGTAGTTTACAGGTATTTTTGGTACAAAGACATACGAGTGTGTGCACCAGACACATACAAGTTCCGGAAGCAGGCAGATAGCGTGTGGTCATCAGCATACAGACATGTACAGACATGTGCAACGCAGGCACTGAAATACAGCGACGTACGCGTGTGTGCGTCCAATAGAGAGAGAGACGCACACATCTACGCTTCTTCCAGCGCGTAGGCGGATACGTCTTTTTGGCCAGCATACGCTTACAGGCATTTCACGATGCGGCGGCATGATGTAGAACTAGCAGCAAGGAATAGTCATATGTATTGTGAGCACGACTCTACACAGAGAGAGAAAAGCGACAGGTACAGCAGCACGCCTTGAGTACATGCAACAGTAGAGACACGAATTCAAGAAGTAGCGGCAGCAGCAGCAGCACCACCAGCAGCAGCAGCGAAAGCGAATGTATATTCCAGGCAGCAGCAGCAGCGGCAAAACCACAGGAAGGAAACTATTTTTTTTCAAGCAGTACGAACAGCCACAGCAGCAGCAGCAGCAGCGCGCGGAGCCTCTTATTTCAGACAGCAGTTACACAAAAAGAAAGCTTCGAGGCGTTGTCTTCGACTTCTTTCAGCGGCAGCAGCAGCAGCAGAGAGAGATACCCCCTCCCTTTACAGCAAGCAACAGTGTACAGATTATATATAAAGTAGTAGCAGCGGAGACACGTATCCCTCTCCTGCACACCAACTACCTATCTACGTGATCTATCGTAGTAGCAGCAGACAGTGGCGGGTGTCCCCGCCACACTGGAAGCGACACTGTACATTGGATAAGTAGTAGCAGCGGAGACACGTATGTTCGTATATATAGCACGCACCCATCCTGGTGTCAGAGAGTAGCAGAAGCACAGAGCCTTATCCTACCCACTATCAAAAGCAGCAGTTCACGCGTCACCACGCAGTAGCAGCTACGAGACACACCGACAGGTATACAGCAAGCAACAATCTACGTGCTCTACTGGTATACAGAGAGAGAAGCAGCAGACGAAGGGACTCACTCCCTAAGGGGGTCAAAGGTCTTCCGTAGTTGCCTGTCTCTTCAGTCTAAGGCGCTCCGTCGGTACGGAGGTTCAAAGTCGCGTTTCCTAGATACACCGCCACGTATATACATATATGTATATATATATATATGTATCTACAAATATGTGTATACATACATGTACACATATATATATATATATATATATATATATATATATATATATGCATATATGTATATATATTTCATCGGCAGAGTTGGCTTACGACGTGGAGGGCCTTTCGCAATCGCCTGTATCATCGTTCCACCGCATGCCCTCCGGGCACGTAGGCTCATATTCACTTTCTTCAACATAATATACGCCATCGCGTGTGGAATGTCTCCCATCAGCAGCTGTATGAGAAGCTCTAGCTTTGTATGTTCCAGCTTCTTCATGTGGCGGTGTTCCCCATGGGAGTCTATGTCTCTCCCACGGTACAGCACGCGGGGGTTTCTTTCCTGTATATTCCTTCTCCTCATCCTCCTCCATGTCTTTCTCTTTCTCCTTTTCGTTCTCCTCGTCCTCTCCGTCCTCCGCCTCCTCTTCTTCAACAATAAGAGAGGAGCGGGGTATTTTGGGCGGTGTGAGGGGAGAGCCACTTGAAGGTCTACAAAAAACAGCAAAGCAGGCGAACATATGCACAAGCAAGGCAGGCATTTATCTTTTGTTGTTGCTTCCCTTCCTTTTCTCCTCTATCCGTCCATCTACGTATGGATATATGCACACGTGTGCACATATGTACAGATATGCACGTATGTACACATATATATGCATATATATACGTATCTATGTAGGCTGGAGAATGTCTGCAGACGCCATAAACAGACATAAAACGTACATAGAGCGACGCCACGCGTTAGACTCTATTTGTGTCTTTTCTCTTTCGTTTCACTGTCTCTCTGCCAAACATGTATACATATATATGCTGAAAGAGGTGCGCATCCGAGCAGAACAGTTTCCAAAGAAACTGTCCGAAGGTACAAATATATATATATATATATATATATATGTATATATATATACATACAAATATACATATACACATATATATATATATATATAAGCCTACTCATGTATGTATGTGCAAGGATACGCGCACTACGCGGTACAATAGTAAGAAGGTGATCCTGTGCGTATACGTATGTGCAGATAGACCAGGCAGTACACGTCTCACAAAAAACCCTAGTACATATGTATCTACACATACATGTGCAACCTCATGCCTTCCTGAGCAGTACGTCTTCCGTGGACGGCCCGTATGTACATATATGCGCAGGTATGTATGGACCTGATCAGCAGACCTTTCAGAGAAAGCGCCTGCAGGTACATAGTTGCGTGAGCGTGCGTCTACAAGGTACAGCGGGGTGCCGGAAAAAGCATCCTGGCTTTACGAACGCGCATAATATGCATGTGTACGTATAGGTATGCACATACACATACGTATATGTATATATATATGTATATATATATACATATGTGTATACGGAGAGAGAGAGAGTGAGAGAGCGAGAGGGGGGACGTGCGCCGCTGTTGAGCATCAATATACGTAGGCGTATGCTGGCAACGGGCATTTTTCACATGATTCTACGGGTTATGTTCCCCTACGAGTACAGCGGAGTATATGAGTCCAGCCAGCTGCATGCAGATATTTGCATACATTATTGAAGCGCCTTCGTGGTATATTTGTGCATGTATAAATTCATATCCTCTAGGATAGATGCATTGATATGCGGGCGTACCACATACGAGTATACGTATAGAATATAGCACGTGATCCCAATACACTTTCGAAGCAGTAGACGCAGCCAAGCTCTGTATGATATATATTCGCACTGGGTGTATGCAGTTAGAACCTAGCAGAGTAAAGAAATTCAACCAGCAAAGCAGAGCTATTCGCCTCCATACGTGAGGCGCCCGAATATTGTTTTGTGTAGCTGCATACAGAGAGAAATAGACGCACTCACCGTATGTGGGTGATACACGTACATATATCCATATATATATATATATATATATATATATAGATATATAGAGGGTGAGACAAACAGATTTACACATGCATGGACATTTATACATCTACAGATACGTATATATGTAGGCAAGGGCTTGTGCACTGAGGCTGGTACAGAACAGGAGAGAGAGTCAGAAGTAAAGAAACAGCTTCTGCTAAAGATCTCAGTAACAGTAAAACGCACGTGAACATATGTAGTGATATTCATACAGATAAATAGATACCACCTACACAAAGATATAGGGGCATACATGCAACTATTGATATACACATGAGAATACGCATGCATACATATATATATATATATATATATATATATATATATACGCACACATCAGCGCACCTCCTTCTTACTTTGTGCTTCTTAACTGGCGTGCATAGCGTGCTAGAGGAATACATCGGAACCATTGTATAGCGAGTAGAAAAACCGGCTTTCCCCAGGAAAGACAAGATACGCATCTAAACAGATAGACTTACTCGAGCAGTTGTATCGCTGCAGGAACGCGGGACCTATCTACTTCGCCGGGTAGAGCTGTTGGTTTCTTTTCGTCTGTTTCTCTTCTGGGTATTCCTGTCTCTCGTTTCTCTATTGACATGGCTGCTGCTGCAGGAGCAAATGACCCTTCTTCTCTCAGCCACGTGGGTTGTATAGCGCCTTGCATGCCATTCCACGGTACGCTGGTCTCTAGCATTCCGGGAGAAAGGAAGGTGTACGTGATTTCGTTTGTGTATTCGATGGTACTTCCACGTTTATCACGGATACCCGCAGACCACAACTGGGGAGTGTGTACGCCTGATTCAGGAAAAGAGAAGATGTATTCTGCTGCGGTATTTTTTGTTTTTAGTTCCAATCGAAATTTTGCTGAATTTCCCAAACGCCCCACTTTCTCTGCTGGAAAAAGAAAGGACCATACTAATCCTCCGTCATCGTCTTCGTCCTCCTCTTCTTTTTTTTCTGCTTCCCCCTTGCCGTCAGCACTTCCTTTCTCACCCCATATATGCAATTGTTTGCCTCTCTGGGCCTGGTGGTGTTCATCATCCGCTGCTAGATCAATATTCACATGCTGAGAAGCGCGCAGTACATATCCACTTTCGCCTATCAAAACTGCGGACCTTTCTGCTCCTCCCCCTGCTCTTTCTCTCTCTTCTTCTTCGTGTGCGCCTCCCCTCTCCTTCTCTTCGTCTCCTTTTGCTGCTGCGCCCGCTGCTGCTCTTCCGCCTCGCCGGCCTACTACACGAGGAGGCGTCGACAGACGCAGCAGAATCTGCATACACAATAGCATACGAAACGTATACAACAGACGTAGCGCAGCAGCAGCTGAATCTGCGTATACAAGAACATGCAGTACATCTACAGCAAAACCTGGGACCACAGCAGCAAAGATAGCAAGTGAGTAGCAGTACAACAGCAGAACGAGCGCCTGTGTAGGTGCAACAGTAGCAACAGCAGCAGCGCCACGAGCAGCGCCAGCAGCAGCACGGAAAGCCGCAGCAACGGCGGCGCTGTCTCTGGGGCGGCGTCAGCAGCGGCATCGACGCTACCTATCGACCAGAAGCAGCACCAGCGACGCTGTCTGCGTAATAGCAGAGCAGCAATAGTATTGTAGACGTAGCCCAGGAGGCCACAGAAGCAGCAGCAGCGATGTCGTCGGTCAGGAAGGAGAAACAGCAGCGGCAGCAGCAGCGGCAGCAGCAGCAGCACTGCTGTCGAGGCAACAGCAAGGGCAGCAGCTGGTACTCAGTGCAACAGCAGCCGCTTCGCACATGCGGTAGCGGAGCACCTCGGCTGCCGCTCAGCACCAGCGGCAGCCACGCTTAGTGCTAACGTTTGAACAGTCATGTGCAGATACAGAGTCGTACACATATACCTCTTAACCTATACGTTAATGCCTACGCATACATGCATGTGAATATATAGATGTATGCATACGTGTATGGAGAGGGAATACTAAGCGCACACATGCATATAATTATATATGAAGAGAGAGAGGCAGAGAGAGAGAGCGTAGCACAAAGCGTGCGTAGGAGGCATACCAGTAGGTCCTGGCCATACTTAACAGGAAACGAAGGATCAGGATGGACACCCAGTATAAGACCTGGAGCAGGCGAAGGGGCAAACCCCACAGCAGTATTACTGCTGCTGCTGCTGTTGCTTCTCCTCTGCTGCTGCTGTGCACCAGCTACAAGCGAGTAGGCCTGGAAACGGAAATTCATTGGGTAACATGCATGTCTGTGAGAGTCCTCTCCTGCTGCATTTACAAAGTGGGGTGCGTGATGGTCATCAGCCACCCGCAGCACGTAGTGACCCCTGCAACAACAACACAGCAGCAGCAGCAGCAGCAACACAAAAGGAGCAGCAGCAGGGCAGAGGCAGCAGCAAAGTCGCAATAGCAGGAGCAGCAGCAGCAGGAAACCAGCAGCAGCAACGCAGCAGCGGCATCGGCAAAGCAGCAGCAGCACCAGCAGCAAATCAGCATCGGCAACAACACCCGTACGGCTTTCCGCAGATGATCCAAGCAAGCAGCAAAGAGTGACTGCCAGAAAGAAGTCTTCTTTCTTGTCAGCACCAGCTATCACATCCTTACGCACTGTTCGTACATACGCATGTGTGTGTGTACATATATATATTGTACAAGTGTGTATATGTATGCATAGGGAATGCTCTTGTGTAGAGGAGACAGTAGCAGGCGACGCATAACCAGTGAGCATTATGTATACTGTTCGGTAGCGGCAGCAGCCGCGGAAGCAAAAGAATACAGCAACGCAGAACAGAAGGCTGCAGAAAAGTCTTTACGTTCACACGTTACACCACCGCTGCATGCAAAAACATACACATACACACCAGGCTTGCACATATACGCTGACGCTTGAATGGCTTCCTCACCCTCCACTTTTCTCTTTCCGTCTATCACAGACAGTAACCCACTGCCGCTTCTAAGGTCGCGGGGCGGCGGCAGAAGTAGCCGTGTAAGCCTCTTGTAGCTCCAAGACGAGAAAGGAGAAATGCACGGACGTCGGTACAGAGAAGAAAACTAGGTAGTTCCACGCAGCAGCACACCTGCAGATGGGTCCGTGTTACATACAGGGCTATGTACCAGTGTACTGTCGTACCATCTGCAGAGGCACACACGAATATATATACATACATATAGATGATATATACGTATATGTGTTAGTGATGCGCAGCCCATCGTCACGTGGTGTCCTCTAGTATGTGTAGCAGCAGCATCGATGCAGGCCCTTGTAGAAGCAGCAGAAGATACACAGACGTCTATAAAGAAATATAGACACTTACGAGCTAGTGTACAGTCATACTACCCACAAAGGCATACATCAGCTCACTGTACAAATACGTACACATACGAATATGTATACGTATCTACATATATATATATATATATATATATATCTATATACATCGATACGTAGACTGAGTTGCGCTCAACATCACTATCAGTGTGCCCTCACCTAATATCTGCGCACGTAGCAACAGCCGCAGCACTGCTTACAGCAGCAGGCGAAAGAGACGGAGATACTCGTATGTCTCCACAGAAGGCCGTGGTATACGCTGTCCGACAGCAGCTCATATGCGGATACCTCTGTCTTATATAGAGAGCTACGTACTAGCGTACAGCCGTGGTACGCTCAGGTGCATGCGTAGAAATATAGATCCATAAACATTGATGTGTGTATATCTGTATGTGCACGTATATGCCTGGGAGCGCGTCGCGATATGCTGGTCTCTCACGTCTTACATAGAAAAGCACACGCTCTGCATATATGCAGCGGCGCACGCGCTATGGACGTATGTATAGGTATAACGGCCCATATATACTAGAAAGCCGTCACTGCGTGTATCGACCATATGACGGTTGCCTCGCGCACTGCTGATGGTTGCGGGTCTGCTGCTGTATGTTACGATACGTAAATGGCACCGCTCATAACTATGTATGTATACATATATATACATATATATGCATACAAATACATATATATACACTGGAAAGCTGCCACCCCGTATATACACCACGGTGGCTTAGCGGCGGGTAACGCTGCTGCTTTCGTATGCTGCTGTGTACGCGGGGGTACCGGTGTTAGGATTCAAATATAAATCTTCATGCGTATTCGTGAAAATATTTGCGTATACATATATGTATTTGCTCAGATGCAGTGCGAGCAGTATACTGGATGACGCACGAAGGGGACTATATATGTGTATCTCCGTGTATAGATTTATATCTGTAGATGCAGTGGAAGGTGTATACTGGAGGACGCATATAAAAAAGCTTCGTCTTGCGCATTCGCAGAAGAACTAGTAACTCTGCATACAAGCTGTTCTCACTGAGGACATAAGAAAAGTATGCTTTAGATCATTTTCTTCGTTGCAATACGCTTAGCCTGCAAATCCAACCAAGCAACGATACGTCCGTCCACGCCTCACCCACTTTTATCCGTACCAGTACACACATATGTTTGCACAAGAGTGAAACCCTACAACGACAAGAGAAATCCACAACTACAAATGTGTATATACATCGATATGTCCGTATGATAATTTGTATTTATGTGCCTTATGTATTTATACATCTACATTGGCCGCAACCTGTGTATATGCATGTGCACATGATTACGTAGTACGACAAGCGGGTAAATATATATGTATATATATATACAAACATATGTATGCTCTTAAGGGTCCACTTGCGCGTACGTGTGCACCTACATATATGATAGTACATATGCGCAAGCGCAGATGCCTCTGCATACAAACATTTGTGTATGTATACCTATATATATATATATATATATATTCGGCCTCGCCTTGACGTGCAGCAGGTGATTACACGCTCTGCAGACGCTCTGCGGGGCAGCAGTATTACGACGAGGGTGCAGCGACGGCTCAGGAGGACAGCACGATGTACTTGCAAATATGCTAAGAAGAAGGAGAAGGCGAAGAAGAAGAAGAAGAAGAAGAAGAAGGAGAGGAGAAAAGAGGTGGTACACGCTAAAGGAGAGCTACGTAGAAAGAAGAGAGGCGTACGGCATCAGTTGCGTAGCGATCCACTGCCGCACATTTATAGGGTCCCCAGGTCTCCCCACGAAGTCAAGTTCTCCTGCCGCTACTGTCTCCTGCATGCACACAAGCATAAAGTACGCGCGCATATGAATATAGAAATGCAGGGCAGCATACATGCATATACACGCAGAATTGTGTATGCACGCATACACTTATGCACATTCGATAATGTGTTCGCACTGTATAAATATATACACTACGCACAGATATATACATCAGCTACATAGCTTTAGATGGTGAAGAACACCTTCCCACACGCGTACTTTCTGTAGAGAGTCGTGTACGTAGAAAAGCCCATGAAGGCAGAGTTGGCAGCTATTACTCTTTCATAACAATCTTGACTCAGCCGCACACGCGTTTACATTGACATACATATTTAGCTATTCTGTTTGTCTACATACCTTCATATGCAACTATGTCTGGATATATATATATATATATATATATATATATATGTATTAAGTCTTTATATGGCGGCGTACAACCCTGCGGGCGGCAGACACTCAAATATATGCGTGAAGGTATGTACGGACGTGTATATATATATATATATATATATATATATATATGTATACCAGTGCTTCGTCTGATACCGTGTGCACATGTACGTATACATGTGTATATATATATATAGCTTATCAGAGGATTTTGCTTATAACTAGAAGGAGAGGAGGAAAAACCCACTCCACGGCGTGTACACATCTGCCTGCATAGACACATATATGTATACATATATATATACACATAAATATATATACATTTGTATATACATATATTTGTAGACGCATAGGTAGTGGGCGTCAAACTTTACGAAGAAGAGGCGCAAATCAAAGGAAGAGAAAACCGTCCTGCGACACTGACAATGAAATGTCTGCGGAGACTGCGAGACAGTGCTGCTGCATCAGTGCTCCTCCTGCTGCGCCAATACCACACCTCCTCTGCATCTTCCTCCTGCCGCTGCTGCTACTGCTGCAATTTTCCTCTTCCTCTTCCTCCAGTTCCCCCTGCGACTGGTACCCCTTTTGCAGTCCCCCCCCCTCCCGACGGCCCTATCTGCTGCAGCAGTCCTCCGCCTCCTGCTCCTCTTTCCGCTGCTGCTGCAGCCCTTCCTCCTTCGCCTCCGCCTGCTGCGGCCGCTGCAAGGGCTGCAGTGTAACATCTCCCCAGCGTGTTTCCGTTGTATATATGTCTGCAGCGGCCGGCAGCAACACCGACGAACACTTGCGTGCTGCTGTAGTGATGTGCTGCAATTTGCAATTTTTATTTATGTTGCGTCCCTGCATAGCTGCCGTTACACAGACGGGCACCCATAACGCGAAGCCGGCACCAACGTCATTTGCTGCTGCTGCTACTACTTCTGCAGCTGCTGCTACTGCTGCTGCTGCTGCTGCCACTGCTGCTGCGGCTGCTGTCGCTGCTGCTGATGCTGTTGCTATTGCTGCTACTGCCGTTAAGACTGCTGTCTCTACTGCTGCTGCTATTGCTGGTTGTACTGCTGCTGCCGCCGCTACTGCAGCTGCCGCATGGAGCTGGCTGCACGGCAGCAGCTCTACAGAGAATCCCTTCTCTACGGGAAAGAAAGGAGCCAGACTACGACAACTCTCGCTCTCCCCCTGTGCAACGCTGTCAACATCATGAACATCTGCTGCTTACCGTCTTGTGTGGCACCAGCAACTGCTGCCGTTGCTGCTGTCGCTGCCGTTGGGGCCGTTGAGGGAGCCGCTGTGGATTTGCGGCGCTGCCGCTGTGACTAGCGCCCGTCGTCGCCGCTGCTGCTACTAATGCTGCTACTGATGCTAGTGCTAATGCTGGTGCTCGGATGGCTCCTGTTGCGGCTGCTCGTGCGACGATATCTGCTGCTGCTGGACCTAGTGCTAGGGTAGCTGCTGCTGCTGCTGCTAGCGCACGGGTGGCTGCTGCTGCTCTGCTGCTGCTGTTAGTGCTAGCCCGGCTGCAGCTGCTGCTAGTGCTAGGGCAGCGGCTGCTGCTGCTGGTGCTGGGATAGCTGCTAGTGCTGCCGCTGCTCTCTGCACCAGAAACAATGAGGAGGAGAGGGCGCCCGTCGCTCCGCTCCCTAGCTCCTACTGCTACCACTGCTGCTGCTGCTCCTGCTGCTGCTGCTGCTCTGCTGCTGCTGCTGCTGCCATCTGTGCTAGGATTGCTGCTGCTGCTCTTTAGATGAGAAGGGATTACAAGGAGGAGGCGCACGTCGCTTCACCCCGCAGTTCCCAGTTGTGATTCGGCTGCTGCTGCTGCTGCTTCTGTTTGTGCTACCGTACGTGCTGCCGATCCTGTTGCGGCTGCTGCTGCTGCGTCCGCTGGTGCTACTCTATCCGAGAAATAAGAAGTGAGTAGGAAGAGAGAGAACAAATAATAGTACAGACTTCAACGTACCGCGTCAGAAAAGGCAGGCAGAGGAATTCCACGCTTGTGAGGGGCTGCTGGGTGGCTGCTGTTATCCAGCAAATCCATCTCAATGTGCGAGGTAAAAAAGTTGTAACCAACTTCTGCAACTACAAAGGATTCCTGTAGTTCGGCGCAGACAAGAATAATATTGATACCAGCAGCACTGAAAAGGGCAAGTATACCAGGTGGACTGCATACCGCCATTTGAATATATGGTTGTATATACAAATACGGGTGAACGGGGTCTAAAATAGATATACATACATGTATGTATAAGATGCGACACTGAATATTATCGCATGAAACTGGCCGAATATGAGGATCAAAAAAGGTGTTTCCAGCTTCCGAAACAATGAAAGAGTACTGTTTTTGGCTATGATCAATAACAGCGCACGCATCATCCGGGATATAGTAAGTATAGACAGCTTGAAGATATAAACAGACAACAGATATATATATATATATATATATATATACGTGCAGAAAGCAACCGGTGTTGCCATTGCATATGTATACGTACCTGCATATACGCTGCATGTCAGTACTATTCTACTTCGACACAAGAAGTAAAAAGGCTGTAGCCCACGTCCGCAACTCTAGAGGATTGATAGATTTTGATGAGTACAACACTAGAAGCAGCACGAGCAGCAGAAGTGTACGTATGTACGGGGTGAAAAAATATATATGTGCATATATGTATATATATACGTATACGAAACTACACATGTACACATACATACTCACGTACATACTCATATATATTGAGAGAGAGACAAAGAGAGAGATGTGTCTAAACAAGTACAGCGCCTGACACTACTCGATCAGTTCATTTCGTCAAAAAAAGTGAAGAGTGGAGGCCTACGTCTGCGAATATGATGAACAACAATACAGTAATGATGACAACAGCACCAGGAGCATCGCCAATAGTACAGATGTGCAGCTACAAGCCATACATACTCGAAAGAAGAAAGCATACATGTACTGTAACATCGCACACATTAAGCCTGATAGCCTTGTTTGTTCATGCACTACTCGTGCAGACTCAATGAGAGCAAACTCGTCTGCCGAGATGGGCTTCGTCTCGCCGTTGTAACTATGCAAGTACCTAGACATAGGAGTACGTATATATATATATATATATATATATATATATATATATATATATATATATATATATTATATATATATACTCTTACGCATCGCATATCACACCTAGCAGCCACCTGCATTTACTTGCATTAGAAAGCGCTGAAACACCTTCTCGTCTTCTATGATGGGCTTCAAGCTACCAATACATATACGTATGTATACATATATATACGTATATACCCCATGCATACGTTGATACAGTCGAATACGTACGCTCATGCAAACTACCTGTATATCTGTGCAGGTACACTGCGTAGAGAGACCTGTGCAGATAAAGCGGTGCGACGTATACACTCGACAAGGTGTACCTGCTGCTATACACGCATCTGCACGCACATCATGTTCGCTGGTCTATGATCTCATATACGGATGTACGCACATATCTGTCTACGTGTCTATCTCTTTCACATACATATATGTGTATTTGTATGTATTTATATATATATCCATATATACGTATATATGTATGTGTACGCAGGCTTACTTCGGTGAGAGCGAAAGGTATTTGTGTAAGGAAGCCTTCTGCTTGTTCAGTAACGAGGGAAACAGGAGGAGACGAGACGTGCTGTTGCAGGCCTGTTTCATGAGAGGTGCATTTCTTTGCTGCTGCTGCTACTGCTGCCTGGGGGAAGAAATCCTCAGGCAGCTGCGGCTGCGGCATGTTTGGTCCGCTGCACGCACACATCTGCATATAAAACATATAGCAGCAACAGCGTACACATACAGAAGAGCATCAGCACCAGCGGCAGCACACAACAGCAGCAGGACCATGTACCCTACCGTGGCCGTAGCAGCAGCAACAGCGGCATATAGTCGCACAGCGTACCCACAGCAGCAGCAGCAGCGCCTGTATCTAGCATAGCTACTGCGGGAGCATATGCATACAGCAGAGTCGCAGCAGCAGCAGGATGTACATCCAGCCTAGCCACAGCAGCAGCTGCGAAGACGTACAGCAGGGCCGCAACAACAGCAGCGGCAGCAGCAAACACAGCCAGCATAGTGCATGCAGCAGCAAGCAGCACCGTATGCATACAGAAGGGCTACAGCAGAGCCACATCGGCAGCAGCAGCAGCAGCATGTACGTCCAGTAAAGCCACAGCAGCAGCAGCAGCGTCGAGTACAGCAGAGCCACAAGAGCAGCTAGGGCTGCAGCAGCACATACATTCAGCATAATCAGTGCAACAGCAAGCAGGTGCACATACGTGCAGCGGAGCCGCAGCGGCAGCTGCAGCACCAGTAGCGGCACGCCGGAGCGGCAGCGCCGCGTACATCCGTCGTTGCCGCTGTAGCATCGGCGGCACAAACAGTCAGCATAGCCACAGTAGACATCGAGAATAGCCACAACAGCAACGGCACTGGTCATAGATAAAAGGACCGTTATTGACCGCCATAGTATTACTACTACCACTACTACCCCTGCGACTGCGGAAATTGTCATGATCAGAGCAGCAGCCGTCGGCGGCGGACTCACCGCCGACAGCAACGGTAGCAGTACTACTACTATTACTAGCTGCACTATGTTTGCTGCTACAGCTGCTAATAATACTGCCGCCACTGTTACTACTACTGGTACTGCTATTACCCCCACAGGAAGACGTGCCGCACCTGGCTCAGGACATAGAACACGCTGGAGCCACCCGCAGTCGTGCAGCTATGCACATAAATATATAATCGACGTATCTATTTGGTCACGCACCCCTTACCTATCTCTCCGCACATCTCTATGGATGTCTACGAGTATATCCAGCGTTACAAATTCATACACACGCAAAGACCTGTGGACCTATTCCTGTCATGCTTATATACACCAACTAGCGGCGGATAGAGACAAACAGTTGCGTTATGCGGTATTGCAGCGGTCATTGTTCTTCTACGCCCATAACAACAGCAGCTCCTTCTCACACGTCCTGCACATTAAAGAGCGCGGCCACAGCGCACGTGCCAGTACGCGTTGCTGCAGTGACTATCTATAACGGCGCACCCCATGTATCGTAGCTGCAAATAGCTATGTGCAAATACGCAGATTTTCATATATATGCATGCATACATACGTCAATGCAGGATATAAGGGTGTGGAATAAAAGCATACAATACCGTAGAGGTCTGTGTTACTGTTCAACAGGCTCCTGAAACACAACTAACAGCGTCCTATCTCTTTTAGCAGAGACTTCCGCAATACGTATAATGCATATATATATACATATAAATATATATATTTATACATGTTTATATACATGCGGGGGGGCGAGCCACGCTATATGCTCTGCCGCATGTATACTTAAGATATCGCATGCCTATACATGAATGTAGATGAAGGAACTAGCCTCTTGGGACATAGATATGAGGGGAAGCATACGTTGATGCCAGCCAATATTCTCCACACTGCCGCGGCGCTCTCACACAAAGACGAGTCCACATACCTGTAGTCACACTCACATGCATATACGTGTGGACACATACATACATATGGACAGAAACTCCAGACGTGGGAAGGAAAACGAATCTAGGCATACATTCACGTGTATGCGGACGTATGTATAAAACATGAGTATATACCTATACATATGCATGATATGCATGTTAGGGGAGAAAGGCGAGTCTCTCTATATACACATATATACATATATTTTGTACGCGTATACT